TGTATTCCAGTGAATGAGCGCCTGGTACATAGTAGGTGCTCAATAAATCTGATTGGCTGAATATAGAATAACCTTACAGTAATGGTCTGAGCAAGGATATTAGCTACAGGAATGAAAAGAAATAGCATTATAAAGGAACCGCCCATATACCAGGTTGAATAGTGTCTCCCCAAAATTCAGGTCTACTCAAGATGCAACTTTAGTATAATAAGTAATAGATTTGGGCTAAAAATCCAGTTATTGGTGCAGTGCTTCTAAAACCCCCACGAATTTCCTAAGTGATGAGTGTTTTTTCAATTCACACCAAAAATCCCCTTCAATCACATCTCAGTTTATACTAATGAAATGATAACCTCAGTATGGAAGACCACGTGACTAAGCAGTGGATACTTTAAGTTCCACTCTCCTGGCCTCCAGGGAGGGGAGGGTGGCCAGAGACTGAGCTCTATAACTCTTGACCAATGAAATTCAGAGTTTGGGGAGCTTCTGTGTTGATGAACACACTGAGCTGCTGGGAGGGTGGCCCACCTGAGAGAACGTGGGACTGCCACACAGCTGCCACACCCCAAACCATTCCTTATACATCTCTTCCACTTAGCTGTTCTTGAGGTGTAGCCTTTATAATAAATGGCAGAATGTCAGTTCGGTGAGCTGACACAGCAAATTATCATATAAGGAGGGAAGGGGTCATGGAAACTAATGCATAGCCAGTTGGGTGGCTTGGACTTATGATTAGCATTTGAGGGGAGGTGGTCTTGTGGGAATAAGCTCTTAAAACTGTGAGATATAACTGTAATTCCAGGTAGAGTTTCAGGATTGAACTGCTGAACATGAAGTTGGTGTCCGGAGAATTGAAAATTGATTGTTGGTGACCTTATTTTGAAAGAGGGTCTTTGCAGATGTAATAAGATGAGCTTGACCAGACTAGGGTGGGCCCTAAATCCAATGTGAGTAGTGCCCTTATATGAGGGAAATCTGTGCACAGAGGTACAGACACAGGCAGAGGCTGGTGACAGGAGGATAAACCGAGAACACCAAGACTGCCACCAGAAGCTAGAAGACCTGCATGGAAGAGACCCTCCTCCAGAGTAGAGTGCACAGAGGGAGCAGGGCCAGGGGACACCTCGATTTGTGATTTCCAGGCTCAAGAACTGTGAGAAAAAAACTTGGTTGTTTTAACCCACACAGTTTTGGTATTCGAGTCCTAGGTATGAATAGCAACTAACTAGGTCTGGAGATGAGGCAGCTCTCTGGATGAGTGCAAGGTCTGAAGCCGGAGTGACTGAAGAATGACTTCTACTAAAGAAATGGCAAGTGCAGAGAGGAAGCTGGTTGAAAGGAGTGATTTTCACTTTCACATTAGCAGTCTAATTCAATTATAGGACAATCGAATGGATGTGTCAGTATTATAAACACCATGACATAAATGAGTAATAAAATAATTAAAAATATGGCTATAAAAACCAAACCTTTTACTGCCAAATCCAAGTAACTTCCTTCAACTACCATGTTCAATGACCATTTAGCTTTGATACTTTACTTTTCCGTTGGCTTCCATAACACTGCTCTGTAGCTTTGACCTCTATGACCACCCTCTACTGTACTGGCTCCTCTTCCCAATTCAACTTCATCCTTATATTCTTCATCATATCCAAAATTTCCTTTCATTTTATTTATCTGTGTTTTGACTTACCCATCTTGGTGCCTGTCATTCCATTTATCTAATAAGCTTTACTTAGGAGTCCAGAACATGTCTACATGGATATAGTACACCCATCATTTTTATATCTGACATGTGTTTAGTCAAACCTACTCTTTCTACTCAACTGGCATACGTTTTTCTTTCTTATTTACCATTATATTGTGTTTTTTATTTGCTTGCTTGTTTGAGACAGGGTCTTGCTATGTTGCCTAGGCTTGCTTCAAACTCCTGTATTCAAGGGACCCTCCTGCCTCAGCCTCCCGAGTGGCTGAGATTACACACATACTGTACCCAGTTATATTTCCTGTAATTTTTTTCCCCTTCAGAATGCCTCTAGGAGTTATGATTTACTTTCATTCTAATACTCTAAGCCCAAATCTAGGCTTCTTACCTCATTCTATGTTTACACTATCAACTTCCTATCTGGTGGTCTCCCTGTCTCCAAGGTTTGTTTTTTTTTTCCTTTCTTTCTTTCTTTTTCTTTTCCTGTCTGGCATAGTGGCTCTTAAACTTGGGTCTTTAAGTATTTTTCAGACACTATCTTATTTCTCCAACTAGATTATACGGTCATGAAGGACAGGTAACAGTGATGGCTTCTATTTCCCCCCAGCATGTGGCATAACACTAAGCTACATAATATATTCAATAAGGCATTTTGCAACTTCAAGATTATGGTTCATCTCTTTTTTGAAAATATTCACAACAATATCTGATCAAGTTATTTCAGAAAAGTATATCTTAGAATAAAATAACAATTTGTCATTGCAAGTGCCTCAAAAGGAAAAACAACTCTTGTGCTAATTTCAAAAGCTCTCTCTTCCTACTCACACTAACCATGGGGATGGAGAGGGGGATAAAAGAAGTCATCAGTCACAGAAGGGCATCCCAACCCAGGATGCCCAGGCAAGCTCTTCAAACAAAGCAATGCAACAAACTATATTTTACATCAAAGACCCTTCCCCAAAAGCACTTACCAGAAAGGACATAAGCCTCTTCCAAGGAGCACTCACATGGCAGTGAGGCATCCTACCTAGCCTGGGGGGAAGAACTGTTCGCAGGAAAGAATTTCCATTTCTGCTCTAGGGTTTCTATTTTGTGATTGGTTTTAAGTCTTACTGCATAAGAAAGTTATGATTTTTGTCATTTAAAGAACCAGAAATGTCTGTTGTATTCTCATGAATTACATCTATGTAATCTTATAGCCAAATCATTGTACTGCAGCAGCATCTTTCAGTGCAAAAAGGTATGAGTTACTTTATAGTGACTATTCTGACACAGGAAATAAGACTCATAGGGGCATGGCTATAATAAAGAGAAAAGCAATAAAATATCTAAAATCAAAGAAAGTGGGAAATTAAACAGTAACAGTGCAGTGGAAAGAGGGCTGGAGTGAGAATAGAAAGATGTAGATTTTAGTGAAGGTTTTGATCCTTACTAGTCAAGTGATCCCTGGTGACTATACTTCAGTTTCCAAATCTATAAAAATGATTTCAATGATAAGGACCCTTCCAGTCCGAAAAATCATACATACTTGTATATTCTTTAATAATATTTCTATGTCACATACAATGTTTTTCCACTGTCACTGATTTAAAACTGTAAGCTCTTGGTGTAGTGTCCCATATGGAGCACTGGGTCATTGTTACTCACTCAAGTGAAGTTAACAATTTCCCATGACTTAAATCATAATCCATACTTTAAAAAGGGAAGTGACTATTTACTATGTTTTCTTGCATCATGTGGTAGGTACTTCATAGTAAAACATTCATCCCAGGTTACAATACTGACAAAATGTTACTTTGTAGGTTTTTAAATACCATTTCCTCCCCTCTGTCTGGTTACCTATCATTAGCTAATAATCTCTCTCACCACTGGATGTCACTTTTGCTCCAAAAGAAGTCAACCCAAACTAACCTGGATAATTAGGATCTTGATCTCTAAGATACGTAACTAACATCTCAATGTAAAAGTTTATCTGTGGAAGATAAAAATCAGCTCTTATAATTTCTAGATTTCTGGTTGAAACTGGCTTCACATGCTTCTAGGCTTCAAACACAGTACAAGGAAGCATAACTAGGATCATCTACCACATGTCAAAAAAAATTCACTGAAATCCCATGGACACTCACACTTTCCAGCATTTGTATGTACAGAACGGATGAAAGAAAAGTGATCTATACAGGAAAAAAACAAATAAGTGCTTATATTTGGGCAAAAAACATTATGATTCCATACAGCAAGTGTTGTTTTTCTAATCTCAGTACTATGTTACTTTTAGCATTATGACAAGAAAAGTATCAGATGCCAGGAAAGTGGAGAAGTAGTGACTTTTAGACTATTCATGGTGTCGCTCTGTCAGTCACATTTGGCAATTATATCCAACAACATAAAATGACATCTAGGAACGGTGTCCTTAGCTTCCAAACTCAGAGTATATGCGAATGATCTAGAGTTATTTTCTCTTGTGCAAATACAAACAGTAAACATACAGATACTGAGGTACTCGTGCCTATACTTAGAAGAATCTCTCATCTCAGATCCTTTCTCCTCCTCACAACCAGTGCCCTAAGAAGGGAATTCAGCAGAGACATGGCAAATAAGACACATTCCAGCACCCCTCCCCTCATTCCAATTCTGTTGAAAAGAACTGCTGAATCACTACCACAGTGAATCACTGTTTCTGTTGCTGAGTTTGTTGAAGTTAAAAAAAAATTGTAAACCACTGACTTCAATGAATCATTTGACTACATAGTTTCCACAATGCACAGGACTGTTTCTAAGAAAATAAAGATTTGAGGTTCTAGAGAAAAGTATGCCTGCAGGGGTAAAACTTGAAAAGGACCAAGGTGGAAACTATCATGGCCGTTTCAGAAACCAGGAGAGTCTCAGGTCCTGCTGTTGGAGCAAGGAGACACTTACTCCTACATCTGAGTTGGAAACATAAGAGCCTTTTAACTACAAAAACAATATTGCAGATTTCAGGCAAAGTCGACACAGGGCTAATCATACTATGGCGTAAGTGAAGAATAAGCTAGATAAGACGTGTAGGGGTTGGCCTGGAAACTTCGAATTACTCTGAAAAATACTATTTCTGTGGATCAATGCAGGTCCACTCTAAGCAAAACTTAGAAATTGGATGGCTTGGATTTTCCCAACTTACCTCTGCAAGACTCACAGTAAAATACAATGCTTATGTATCAAATTAAATGTCACTAAAATCTTAGCTTCACTTACATATTTTATTCTCCTAAAATAGGTTCTTTACTCAATAGAAATCATCTTAATAGGAATCTCTTGCCTTTTTCTGGGCAGTTGCAGCTCGCTGTAGCTTCTCTTTAGCTTGGGTATACTTTTCTTCCCTGTCTGTGATACGTTCATGAAGCTTGTGTTTTTCTTCCAACCACTGTATCTGTTTCTCTTCCAGTGTCCTGACAAAAGAATATGTGCAAAACATGTAAGTTCATAAAAACTTGTAGTATTACAAAGATTATCACCAGTATAAGCCAACTCCCTGAATGCCTGACCATATCCTTCCTTTTCCAACGCTAGGCACGCTGCTTGGCCAAAACCTGCCAATACAACCATCACAGCTCTTCTTAGGAACCAGGCACTGTACTTAGAATATTTCACAAAAACTCTCTAAGGCAGGTATTCTCTAGTTTTTTGTTTTGTTTTGTTTTGGTTTTTTTGGTACCTGAAATTGAACTCAGGACCTTGTGGCACCACTGAGCTACATCCCCGGCCCCTAGTAAGTCTTTTTTTAAGATAAGGAAAACAAGGCTTAAAGCAGTTCATTAACTTGCATAAGGACTCAGGTCAAACATTTAATAACCTGGTTTGTCTATAACAATCAAGCTATGAAAATTTGACCTAATAAAGCTGGTTAAAAATGAAGCCTGGTATCAAGTCTTAACACGGTAGGTTTTCTGGCAAGAGTAAAATTCATATAAATGATATTTTAAGGTGATACAACAATAAAGCTATTCTTTATCATACTTTATATGATTCTCATTACCCTTACTTTGGGCAGTACAATGAGAATAACAAACTGTGACAAGAGAGATTACATGTCTAAGGTCACACAGATTTAAACTATATCAGCTGGGTTTAAAATTACATTCTACTCAAGCGTGGTGCCGCATGCCTATAATCCTATAATTTTGGGGAGGCTGAAGCAAGAGGATCAAATGGAGTTCAAGGCCAGCCTGGGCAACATTGTGAGTTCAAGGCCAGTCGGAACTACATAGTGAGACCCTAGCTCAAAAGACAAAAATATAGAATTACATTCTAACTGCTAGCCCAAATTATTTTCTTCTATATAAGCCTATGAATGACATTCAGAAACCAACAATAAATTACTTAAACTTGAAAGATAAATTAGAATTCTTAAGTTCATTCCAAAATAAAGATTTTAAGATACAAATTTCTACCGTTTTGCAAAATAAGAATACATCATTAGGCTCCTTAGATCATTAAACATATCATGGATGAACATCTTTCTTACTTCTTTTTCCTGAAATTTAACCCAATATATGAAAACTGTGAACAAGCCTTAAAAATATGAAATAACAAAAAAACCACAGGAAAAAAATTATGTGGTAAAACTTCAGAAAAACAAATATGAAAATGTTTTATATAAAATGTATAATAACATGTTTAAAAGACAAAGAAAATGCAAAACAGCACAATGTTCTACCACCACTCTCGATTCATTGATTGATTGACTGATTTAATGGTGGGGATCAATCTAAGGTCTCCTGTGTGCTAGGTAAGCACTCTGCCACTGAGCTACATCCCCAGTCCTATTCTATCATGCAGAATTTTCTAGAGAATATAAGGTCTTGAACATAACCAAAGCAACTTCCCCACCAGTTTACTATTCTGTGTGCTACTAATAAATTTCAAAGCCCCAAAACAAGTCAATTAGTTTTTCCAAAGGTAAAATTAAAAAGACTAGTTCTAATTCCAGGAAGCAAGCTTCACACTCAAACCCACCCATCCAGCAAGCCCACAGCCATGTCATTCTGCTCTCTGGCATTCAGAAGAACAGTTTTGAAGAAACATTTGGGTTTGCTCAATGAAGAAGAGTTTTTCTTTGAGCATTTTCAGAATACTTTGCTCAAGCAGAATTTTAAAGACCTTCTTCCCTATGTGTTTAAATTAAAAAGAAACAATTTAAGAGTCTATGAAGCTTATTTTATACAGATGGAAAGCACATTACCTGAGACCATTGTACACTATCAAAATGCATTTGTAACTAAACAGAAACACATTCAATGCTGGAATCATCTCTAAAACAACTGCATATTATATAGCAGAAAGAAAAAAAATATACATAAAAGAAGCGCAAACTCTACTTTTCAACTTCTAGTTGTACTTTTTCAGCTTGGCTTCTTAAATTACGGCATTCTTGCTTTAATCTCTCCACCATTTCCTTCAGCATTTGGTTTGAGTTCAGCAGTTCATTCTCAGACTGGGTCAGTGAGGTCACTTGAATCTGCAAACTACTGATTTTCTAAAAGGAGAAGAAAACAGTGAATATACAGCCACTATGCAGATGCAGTAAGTCATATAAGAAGAGGCGATAGTAAGACTCTCCCAGCCAAATTTGCTACCCAGCCAATACACACTCAAGGATGCCACTTAAATGAAATAATAAATAGTAGCAGCGAGGTCATTTCTTACTCTTAACCAGAGACTATCAATAACCATGAGGTCCTCAGTCACCGAGTCCCTTCTTTTCTTCCCAAAAAAAAGCACAGCAGAAGGGTATTGGGAGTGGGGAGTGGGTTATCAGGCAGAAAGCAAGCAGAGGAGAAAGAGAAGCCAACAATTAGCACAAGTCTATCACTCCAGCCTTCCTCTAGCCTTCTTAGAAAGAACTGATTCTACAGCCCTTCAGCTGGGAAAACAGCTGAAGAACCCTGTCCTCCCTCGCTCACAGGAGGGAGCAGCTATCTTCCAGAGGCCTGCTCTCTGAGCAGTCAGGAAGCACTGAGTGTTAAGACAGGAAGGGTCACTCTCACCTTGACTTTAAAAGGCATCCTGTACATCCAGTGTGGTCAGAAGAAAGGTGCTTTGAGAAATCTACTGGATGCTAGAGATTCCTTGGCCTCTAGAGCCATATGTCAAACCCCTTAAATGTCACTCAAGGGCTTTATCCCAATTTTCCTTCATCTGGGAGTACTTTTTCTCATAAAAGTGAAAATTATGTAGTTACAAATTAATAAGCTAGAAAGATTCACAATGTTTCTAAGTTATACCTAAATTGTCTTCATTGAGAATAGTTATATCAGCTTCCCCTACTAGCTACTTTTATCAATTAATAAACAACAAAAGTCTTTTTTCTCTCATTCTTTTAGCCACTCTGTGAGATATTTCTGAGCAAATAGAGTCAAGAGTCACAGGTAAAAAGAACCTATCATGAGATTCAAGAGCTAAAAGTAACAAGATTCTTTACACAGTAAATTAAATCAAAGGGAAGTAATCCTACTATTTTTCTGATGGCAACAAAGCCAAATAAGATAGGACTATATGTCCACAAAGTAATTGTTAGTAAAATTGCATGTTTCAAATTTCTATTTTAGAATGAATTTCTTCATGCAGAAATATTATTTATTTTTAACTGGAATGGAAAACATTAAATCTGTATTATAGTTGCCTGAATAAGCAAACTTCAAAGAGCCTACCACCTGTCTATATTCATAGGACACCAAGAATACTAGGTAACTTCTCTCGCAGGGAATCAAACATTACGTCCTCCTGGTTAAGACTTAGAAACCCTAACGGCACATGAAAGGCTATACAAGTCAACGCACATGCATAAACCCTAAACATGGAATCTTCTACATCATATATGGGGAAAATATACTTTCAACAAACAAAGAAAATAGAATTCAGAAAAGAACATTTTTCTATATTTTGCTCCACCTTATATAAATTTTTCCTGAACCCAAATTACTTTAAATAAAATATAAATTTCTTTCTATAAATACAACTGTTAGACACAGGGACATAGCAAGACATACTTCATTGATAAATGTAAAGTTATAAACCAATTACCCAAGTAACTTCAAACCTCACTAAAATTTCTAAATAATTTTTTTTATCTAGAATATTAAATAATCCCTTTTTTTTTCTTGAGACAGGGTCTCACTATCCAGTTCAGGCTGGCCTTGAACTCACTATGTAGCCCACACTGGCCTTGAACTTGCAGCCAACCTCCTGCCTCAGCCTCTTGAATGCTGGGATTACAGGCCTACATCACCAAGCCTGGGCTAAATACTGTCCTTTAACTATAACTTTTAAAACTTTGTATGGGCCAAAACATATAAATATATTAATAAAAACAGAATTTACCAAAATAAGCTTACTAAATTAAAGCAGAAAGGTTGAAATATTTTATCTCTACATATCAATCTCATTCATCTACGTTATCAACTGTGGTGAGATTACTGTGTGTTAACAGTGATAAGAAAAATTCAAAATATGCAAAACATAGATTTAAAGAAGCACTTAAGAAATTAAAAACAAAATGTCTCCTAAAATCATACCTGTTTCAGATCAGAATTTTCATTTTTCTCTTTCTCTGCATTTTCAATATTCACAATTTGTTGTTCAAGTTTTAACCTAAAAACCATAACCCAACAAAATATATTACAAATCTATAGTTCATTTTTCTCTGAACTACTCAATCATTCCACTGATTGGTTTGACACCAGGCACTGTGCTATGCAAACAGATAGATCCAATCATGAGTAGAGGCTGCATTGGCATATAACTGTGACAAAACACAAATTACTTCTTTTGCAACAGGAAACTGTGAGCACTAAAAGAATGAGATATCATATCTGCCCAGGAATAGCGGACAAAACTGATGAATAAGATTTTAACAGACATAGGGTTCGTCCTGAACAACTGGCCATCAACAGAAGAGTACTGAAATGTGTTAAGGCATGGGAAAGCAGTTCAGTTTAGGAGAAGGCACCTCACTCTCATACAACTTAGCGATTTTACAATCTATAAAATGCTATCAGATGTACTGCTATTTCACTTTCACTCCTTAAAGGCTACAGATTTAAAAGAAAATTGTCTCTTGCAGGACATTATATTGTATTCTATAAAATACCTTATAAGCTTTTAATCTCTGAGATAATATTTGAAGAGGACACAATCAGCACTCTCTTCTAAAGAAATGTTACATGCTCAGCCCCAGCCCTAAAATGGACAGTATCTCCCTCCAGGAGGCTGAGGCAGGAAGACTGCAAATTCTAGTCCAGCCTAGGCAACTTAGTGACTCAGTGAGACCCTGCCTCAAAGGAGAAGTAGCTCAGTGCAAAGGATATAGGGTTCAGACCCTACTACTAGAAACACACAAACACACACACACACCATCTCTGGTGAGGAAATGGCTCATTAGATAGAGAATACTTTGTATTAATTAGGTTTGGCAGGATAGGCCCTCAACCTCCTCTGTTTGAAAATTCTTCAAACACTTAAATATAATTCACTCGATATCTGTTATTTTTATTAGCATGTCCTATATACCCAAATAGAATGTGCCTAGAGCAATGCTGTAAGTACAGGATTTCAATAACCATTTGTCGACTGGATCAGACACTAAACGTGTAAGTCGAGTAGGTAATATAACTGGGAAGAAATCTGATGGCCCATTGCTTGAGACAATGACAAACAAATGCCAGAAGCAATAGGGCTAAAGGAAGAGGGTCAGCCCTGCTCCTCCTCTGTCCCTTTGTCAGTACTAGTCACATTCTTACTTCAGGTTTCTAGATGTATTGCTAGCACCCTCTCAAACATTTTATGCATTTCTTTCATAAATGTTTATGGATATTATTAACTTGGTGCTTTTAGGTTACTGAATCAATAAAGATTCATTTCTACAAAATCATTAATGGTGTACACAGAAAAGAGAGCACTGTGGGTCCTAGCCTACAGCCAGAGTTAGAAAACAGGCTTGAAGTACATTCCAGCTCTAGTCAAGACTGTGAATATATAGTACTTGGATGATCAAGAAGAAACAAGACTCAAGAAAAAAGCATTCATGGCCAGACTGCTTCAGTGGAAGTCTACACTAAAGAACAAATGGTGCCCTACATACAAAAGCCGAAGCCAAAGAAAAGAATGGTAAAGAGCATCTGAGTGTCAGTAAGGCATGAAATAAGCAGTAAGAGCACCATCACGGCAGGTTACAGGGGAGGCCATAAGGCACAGCCCCATCTTCCATTCACTTTGCTGAAATGTACTGGGTTAGAATCTAAAACTGATGTCGGATTTTTAAAAGAGAAAATTAGCTCACAATTTAAGATACCACATTTAATATTTTAAGGGATAATGGGCTTTAACATAAATAAAATTAATTTTAATAGATATTATCAGGGTTTAGGAATAATGCCAATGATTTTAAATCCCAGTAACAAGAGTTCAAGAAAGGTAGATACTATTTTAAAAGACACTGTTATTGATTTAGGAATGAAAGTATCTCTCTTCTGATTAGAAGGTTTTTAATATTTAAAGTGTATCACAAGTCAAAAGAAAATAAGCTTTATATTAGAAGTACAAAATAGAGGGGGAAAGCCAACCATGGTAGGGCACACCTGTAATCCCAGCACCCTGAGAGGTGAGGCAGAAGGACCACAAGTCCAAGCCCAGCCTGGACAATTATGCAACTCAGTCAGACCCTGTCTAGTTAATAAAAATGTTTAAAAGGGCTAGGGATGTCGCTCAATGCTATGGCCATAGGTTCAAATCCCATTACTGCAAAAACCAAGTACAGTAAAAAGTGCAATTAATTTTCATTAAGAGACTAGTTAAGGTTACAGAAGAGAGATACAATTTGAACTGGATCTTGAGCACAAAGTAAGAATCTGAGCTAGAGAACAATATACAGAAGGTGAAGAAGAGGGTAAGTGATGAAATAAGACCCTGCAGGTAACAGAGGAAATGGCATGAAAGCACAGTTCACTTTGGAAGTAAATGGGGAATGTTTTCACTGTAATAGGAAGTCAAAATAAAAAGGGATTAGGATACAGAAATTCTAAGATAGCAAGAATGTGAAAGAACTCATATCCAATAGCTTTTCCTCATGTATAAGTGAAAACACAGATGCGCAGCAGACTGTTTCTAAGCTGAAAAGGGGGCAAGGGAGCCAGGATAACAGATTGAAAGAAAAAGAGAAGTACAAGGACTACCAGTTTCAGTATCTTCAATGAGGGGAGTGGTAAGAGCAAATGGAGATATTTAGGAGATATTTAAAATGAATGGTTGTAGGAGATAATAAGGCCCAGGATGTAGAATAAAGAGTACCACTGTTTGAATACGATAAACTAAAAGGCAAAAGGTGTTGAACTGTTCAACAATACGCAGGTGTAGTCACTTTAAAATGATGGCTAGTGGGGCCGGGGATTTAGCTCAGTGGTTCTGGAGCCTGCCTCGAAAGCCCAAGGACCTGAGTTCGATCCCCGGTAGAAAAAATAAATAAATAAAATGATGTCTAGGGATAGAAAATACAGAAAAGTGGAGCCACGTATCAAAGACCTCAGTGACTGTTAAAGAACATCTGGTATATCAGTAACTGGCAAAGAAAAAAGATGGGGATAAACTAGATGCAACAAATATCAAAGGAAAAATCATTTTAACTGAGGTAGTGAAGCAATGGTTCAACAGCAAAAGTAGCATTTACAAATGTGGATTTCCCTTGTTGGTCCCTTGTCATAAGAGAAAGAAAAACAAGATAATTTCCACCTAAGAGAGTTGCCAGGTTAGAAGTATGAAAAATCTTGCAAAACATTTCTTGGTAACAGAATAGAGATTTCAAAGCAGAAACTGTTTTTAAAAGGAGAATTTTAATAGATAGTGAAGAAAAATCAGAAAGTGAAGGATGAGTAAGTTGGGGGAAAAGAAACTATAAATAAGTACTTTATACTCTAAAAGTAATTTTAGCAGTAGAAATACAAGGTAGGATGGAGGGCCAGGGTACAACAGAGAGCACAGCAGGTAAAAATGTGAATGGTAATTGTGCAATAACACTAAGATGGAGCTGTTTCAAAGTATAATGCAGGCAACTGTGATGCCCACGTCATGGCGCACACTCACATGTGCTACTGCAACATTCAACAGATATTTACTGAGTGCCTATGAATGCTGAGCCCAGTTCTAAGTGTTACAGATACATTGAAAAATTAATGGTTCAACAGTGCTGTAGGATAGAGCTTTCTTTGAGGATGGAAATGTTTTATAAGCTGCATCTTCCAACATGATCGACACTAGCTATGGGTTGCTATTGCACAGTTGAAATGTAGCTAGTATGACTGAGCAACTGACTTTCCAATTCTTTTTTTTTTTTGGTACCAGGGATAGAACTTGGGTCCTTCTGCTTTCAAGGCAGGTGGCGGAACCACTGAGCTAAATCCCCAGCCCTGACTTTCCAATTCTTAAAATTTCAATTATTTAAATTTAGATTTAAATTGCTCTATGTGACTAGTGTTACCGTACTGGGCAGTGAAGGCTCTTGCCTTCATTTGATGTTGGTGTGCATTATCAATGTAATGTGGCAAGCAAGAGAAGTTGTGGTTCAGATTTTTCTACCGTCACAGATTCCTAGAACAAGTCTCTGGAGAATGGGAGGGGCCTTCTTATACCAACCTTCTGAAACCAAGTTTCCTGCTTACAAGCACTGAAAATGGACTCTGGTCATTATTAACAAAAGGGACTTTCTTGTAAGGATATAAGAATCCACTGAACCAAAGGGGAATTAGAGAACCAGAGCCAGGGTTTAATAATTGACAGGAATCATAGGTAAAGACACACAACAAGAACCACTAGGTCTTTCCAGTGCTACCACATGATTGCCACAACCACTGCTCACTTTGCAGTTCAAATTGTGACCGAGAACGTGTCCAAATGGCTATAGTGTCCTGTTTCCACAACAGATAATTCTTCTGAAGATTAGGCATAAATAGAAAAAAAGCATATATTAAATGATAATTATATGGTTTTAAAAGGCAAATATTCACTATAAACAAAAAATCCAAACTAATAAAATAAAAATGTCAAAATGTTAATTAAAAATCTTAAGAAAAAAATTAGAAAGCCCTAATTGGAAAACAGAGCTCTGACTTTAAGCCATGCAAAAGACAAAATTAAGCAGCATTCACTACAGGATATCTTCAGTGGTTAAGGTCCTCTTCCCTTGGATAGTTATCATTATTATTTCCCCCAAAACACTGTCTCCCCATTCCTGATCTCACTCTTAGCCTCCTCCCTGCCACCACAGAGAAATCGGTACACAACCTGGCTGAGCCACAGCATCTCATCTCCCCTGCAACAGTGGCAGGCCCAGGGAGAGGTACGCCAATCAGATCCAAACCAGTCTCTTGACTTTTCTGTCTTTGGTCTCAACATAGAGACTTGGTGTCACAAAGAAAGCAGTAGGAAAGAAGCAGACACAGGAGACAGACAAAGAGAAGGGAGAACAGACAGGAAGACAGGAAGGAGGGAGGAAGCTACTCCATCTGAGCCACATGTGAGTTCCAGACCCAGGTTCCAAAAGAACAGCACTACTCCTAACCTTTCCACAATTTATGTCAGCCAGTAAAGTCCTTTATTTGCCT